AGACTCAAGTTAAACCAGAAATTGATTGGCCACTCCTACACGTTTTGTATCACTATTGCCCCCAGCACATCTTGCAGGCAGTACAGATTGTAGGTAGAAGGTTTTGTGGCTAGGTTGGTGTCCAGATTTATCTTTCTGTAGCCTTAAGAGTACCTTCATGCATGCCAAAGAGACTAGAATGTAGGGGTGAAGGCTCTATGCAGGTACTAGCTTGAGCTCTCTACATTCAATGAACATGTGAGTGTTGTCCTTTGCAATGGGGCCCCATTGCAAGTTTTTGGAGAGTGAACCACTGTTCTAGCCTCAGCCTGGTTTGTTTAGGGATCTCCACCAGACCCCCCTCAACCAATAACTCAAATGAATACAACCTAGTTCCACCACTAGAAGCCTTGCCTGTCTACAAAAGATGGTCAATTTAGACTCTGTATCCTCCGTTACTATGAGTCCTCACTAGGGCCATCCTTACAGATTTCAGGGAGTTTCCACTGCATTAGATTTCCACAATACTTCTTAAGTGCCTCCAAATTTCAGTCCTCTCCCTGTACTTTTCTTCATCAATCTCTTCCAACCTGATTCCTCATGCTCCTGCCTCCACTTGCCCCAAGTCCAAGTTTATACAGAACAGTCCACTGAGGGCATGGAAAGTTACTGCTTATTGGCTTGTTCACATTGCTTGCTCAGCCTGCTTTCTTATAGAACCTAGGACTGCCAGCCCAGGTATAGTACCACCCACAATGTACTGAGCCCTCAACCATCAATCACTGTTTAAGGAAATGCCCTACAGCCTTGCCTACAGCCTAATCTTACGGAGGCATTTTCTCAGTTGAAGTTTCTTCCTCTCCAGTGATTCTAGCTTATGTCAAGTTGACATAAAACTAGCCAGGACAATGCATAACTCAGAAGATACCTCTATCACTAAATGGTGTATCATCATATGCTTACTACACTTATCTGCAAGTTATATTGTGGCCACCCTAACTCATGCCACAAACAGGCCACAAGACATCCTTCAGAGAGAAAGCCAGGGAGTAGTAGGCTAAAGGAAAGAGAAACCAAACACAAAAAGTGCTTTTTGTTCTCTCTCTCTTTCACTAAAAGCACGTGTCTGGTTGGGTTTCATGGCAGCATGTGCCCCCTCACTTTTTCTGTTGATCATTCCCACTACCTCAGCCTTTAATTAATTCTTACAAAAATATGTAAATGTCATCTATGATGCTTGCAATAATCATTCTTCAATTGATGACTGCAGCAAGTACCAAATTGTTCTCCTTTAGCATATATATTAATTGTTAAATGTAAAGAACAATGAAAAATATTAATCATAATTTAAGAAGTCTCACCATCATGAATTATATTTCTTAAATACTCTAACTGTATTTGAACTGCCAAATGAAGAAGTTTTCAGTGTGAGATTTCAAAGTAAAGGCAGCTTCTGTAAAGGCGGGCAGTATTTGCTGTTCCATTAAGTCTTCATAAGGTAAAATACGTTATGATCTTTGTAACAAATTGTTTTATTGAAGAAAAATAGGCCACTTTCAGCACTTTTTAGTTTTCAACACTTGACCATCATGTGTCACAATCCAGATGAATACATAGCTTAGGGATGAAGAGCATTTGCCAATATAGTCCTCTGTGTATAAAAACCATCATTTTCATTACTTGCCCCATTCCACCATCCTAATTATTATTTCCACCTCCTGTGCTGCAGTTAGTGATAGTTACAATACCTGAGCTATAAGAAATAAAGGATTCACTTACAGCAAATTCACAAATTTAATTTCAATCCATTTATACACCTTGTCCACCTAAAACAGCAAATGTCTGCCCCACAAACCCCAAAACAAACAAGCAAATACAAAACAAAACAAAACAAAAAACAAACAAAAACAAAACAACCCCCCCCCACACCTCAACGGATAGAGCTGGTAATTCAATGTGTTTGTATGAAACAAAATTGTGAGTAAAACAGCAATGCGAAGCTAATCAGTTGCTCAAGGACAAAAACAAAGTCAGCCACTGGTATTTTCCACATTTAAATATTTGAAGACATTTTTATCCAGATGAATGCTTGAACCATCCTCTTCTGGGCACGACCTAATCGATAGACACAGTCAGCGCTCATTAGGGTTCACAGATCTGAGGCACTAGTTTATTGACATAGTTTATGTACATAAACAAAAAGACAGAGTTCAAAAGTTTTCTAATTTACAAATGAATACAGTGTCTTTGATTCACACTGAAAATTGAGTTGTCATTATATTATAATATTATAAAATAGAGAAATTGGTTTTCTGTTGTGGAAGAGCATATTAAATATGTTATTTCATTAGAAAACATGGTGAAGTCCTCAACAGCAATCGACGGACAGTGTGTGAACTCCAAGTTGTATTTTTTCACTTAACATTGCCAGCATATAACAGACTCACACCGTGTATTGTAAATATATTGAATAATATTTTTTGAGTGAGAATGGTCAATATGTATCTTAATATTAATTCTTCAAACGATGTCTAGTATAAACCTGGTAGTTAGGAAAGGTAGAACACAGGTAAGGAAAATAGTTTAAATATTTTGATTCCAATCTCAAAGCAAGGCAAAGGCTAAGAGAGACAAAATACATTAATTAAAGAAAAACCTCAAATCATATTAAAAGTAACCCTATCAAACTACTAATTAAACTTTTGTAATGTTTCTTAAAAGTGGTTAGAATAAAATCGCCTGCTCTTACAGTGTGTTTTTCAAATATAAGAGTAAATGTTATGACACACAACCTAGAGAAAACTTATAGATAGTAGATACACAAGAATGCATACATTTCAGGAGGAAATTTTACCCTATTGATTAAAACCCATTTTTTCATTCCAAGCGTTGAGAAAAGCAAGCTGATTATATTATCACATTCTAGAACAGGAAGTCAAAGCAAAAATAAAACACAAAACTGGCAAACAAGGTTACTGGAACTTGGAACTCCTTAATCAGTCCTTCCTACGAGGAGTCACAGATATTCACAACCTGGAGTGTGAAGAACAAGTGACCTAACATCCTATGGGATCCACAGGGATGAGGCAGGAAATCAATGCCCTAGATAGGGTTGGAAAGGCAATCTTAAATTAAAACTGAACTAGTAGTTTTCATTACTGTAGCAGTAGTGAGTGGCTGAAACTCTCAGCCCTTGGGAAATAGAGAAGGATATAGAGTTTAAGGTCATACTCCACTTTGGATTAATTTTGAGCCTAATGACACTTTTTTTTGCTTCAAAGAAAGATTTTCCTTCAAAAGAAAAGGAAATAGAAAAGTATAAATGTATTATTCTATCAAGAGAATTTAATGTTATATGAAAGTGGGGTGGGGTGATATGGAACTGGAGATGTGGTGAGTACAGATTTTGTCTCCTGATCTTATATTTTATCTTGGTCAGTTCATCGAAAACAAATCTATAAATTCTTTATCTTTCCTTTTTTAAACTGACCATAGACTTATTAAAATATACATAGGTGTTCTTTCCACACGTATTTCTGCATACCAAGTGAGTTCCTGGTGCCCATAGAAGCTACAAGGGGGAAATGGAATTAAAGAAAGTTAGTTTTCAATATCTGAGTAGTATTCCATTGTGCAAATGAACCATATTCCTGAATCCATTTTTCGGTTGAGGGACATTTGGGTTGTTTCCAGCTTTATCTCCTTTTAAGAGTGAAAATGCTGATATAACCCACAAAACTACTCTGCATATAGAATTAATGCATGGTGGTGTTCTTTTCTCTGCTATTGGGTTTATTCAATTCTAGAGCTCAATAAACTTCTTTGAGTATACCACATATATGACATTGGATTCTAGAAATTAAGTCCTTCTGATTTTCCTTATTTTTTTTTAATTATTCTGGGATATGTTCTCTAAAGGTTTTAATTGGGGCTTGGCAGATTATTTTTTTCCCTGTACTTTCAAAGTGTGTTTAATCAACAGAAGTGAATGTACTCAGTGAGTGTGGACTCCCTGACTTCATCCTTTGGTCAGTTTTTATCTGGAAGATGGTGTTTGAATATATTATCATTTATATGTCCATCTGTCTTGATTAGGAGTTTTGCTATAATTATGCCACAGTCTGGATCTTTTGATAAGTGATATTCTCATATGAAATTTTATCTTCAAAGCTAAATCATCATTACTTTAAAAAAGTTATTCCATGTTATTTTACCTTAATCAAATGGCCATTCTAAAATATCTATGGACACCTTGCATGTTACTATTTTAGAAATTTCCCCATCTTACATTTTTATTGTCTAACATTAGAAAAAACAAAACTGGCACTTCAGACAGCTGGATTCACATCTTAAAACATTATCAGTGAATATGCACAAAGAATGTTTTAAAATTTAAAAGATGTTATGAAAGATAGCTGTCACTCATTCTAAAAATGAAAAACCTTGTGTGTATATCATATTAAATCTAGTGCACTATGGTAACTAACTTATCATTAACAGAATTAACTGGGCAAATTTTATATCAAATGGTTATTAAGTCAATGTAATGAGCCAAGCAATAAGTATCTAAAATAATGTATTCTGATCTGCAAATTCCAACTTTGGAAGAAATGACACAAGATGGTCACTTTGGACCAAACCTTCATATGTTTGCAATTTTAAAAACACCGGGACTTTAAATAGTTGATCATCTTCCAGTTGATGGTACCAACTAGATCTTAGAAGTTCTAGATATCCACACAAAGACCAAAAATGTTGCAGTTGCATTTTAGCTGAAAACAGATCAATTTATACTGGGTAATTTTAGAGAAGACAGATACGTATAAGTGAAGAAATCCTTTTCATTAGATTATTGCTAAGGTTCATAATCAGCCTGGAATCTTTTGGAAATCGTGTAGTCCACATTATAAAGTTACATAAAGTTTTGTAAAAGTCGCATGCTTTAGAAATGTGGTGTTCCCATCAAGCCTGTCCTCTAGAAACGTCGATGGCAGGGAAGCTTTGGGCCCCATGCCTCCTGTTTACAGCAGCTTTTCTTCTCTAGCTGGAGTCCCATCGAAATTGGCTGATGGTTTTTCTGGGCCCTTTTTCTCACACTCGGAACAAAGAGGCATTTGTAATTTCTGACAAATGATATAGAAAAGACAATTAGAAGGATAAAACTAGGCACATTTAAGGTAAAAATACGAAATTGTAGTAGGACAGCAAAGGTCTATCAGTGTAAATAAATACCATCTAGATGACAAGCAAAGCCACAAACTAAGCCAATATTCAGAAGTTTACCAAATGTAAATACTGTGTTTAGAACTGGTACAACTTCTCAAAAGCTACCCTGAGAAAACTTAGGTCAAATCATCAGACATAAATTCATTGAACTCTAATAAAAATTTCTGAACATCGCTATTATATAATATTTTATTATTTAACAAACACTACATATGTGAAATTAGAATTTACCTTTGTAGGTGAATTTGGTGTTTATTTTTGTGGAGGGCGACTACTTTTTACACCTACTCCACTCCCCCAGTCATCTTTAATCTCTCATCTCATAAAAATTATGGACAGGTTTTTAATTCTCTTTTAAATTTTTTTTTTTTACTTTCTTATTTGGCAGCAGAGAGGGGGAAAAAGGGACCCTGTTCTCTATCTTTGAAAGACTTCACATAGGTATATTACAATATTTCCTGGAAAGCACAGCAGACAAGTGAAGTTCAAGGATCCTGGCTGAAGGAAGTAAACACATATTTTTAGACAATATAAGGGTTTCCATCATGTCTTTAAAAATTGGTTATCAGGCAGGTTCCTTCCACCAAGTGTGATGAACTGACTTTAATGCCTGGAGCTCACGTGGTAGAAGGAGAGAATAGGATCTTTCATTTGGCCTCCACATAAGATTCATGGCATGCTCCCTACACACACACACACACACACACACACACACACACACACACGAGTAAATTAATGTTAAACAAAATAAGTAAGAATTGCCCTGCAGTACAGAGGGTACAAGAAGGACCTTCTGGATATCATGCAAATCAAATAGACTAACAAGGGAATACCTGTGTTGTGGGCTCTGATTCTGCAGTGTTGTTACTTTGGGGACTTCCTTCATGCTTTACCAAACAGGAACTACTCTCCTGTAAAACAATTAAAAATAAGTCAGGTTATTAAATTAAAAAAACAAAAATGATGCAAAACTCATTGTGGATTATTCTTATTTAGAAGTTTCCACCAAGTCAATGCATATTAAAAACCAAGGACAAAATCCTCTCAGTTGAATGGGTTCCTAGGAACAAGGGCTGAGTCATTTGCATGTCACAGGATGCAAATCATTATAACTGGCTACAAATAGGCTCAGTTCTAAGGGGAAACATTCAAAAGAAGGAAAAGATTAAAGAAATATACCTGTGGTGCATTTGAATCCTAAAATTTAAATCAGACACCAATGATGAATGTGCCTGCAGGGACATCAATATTTTATGGCAGGGGTCTGGAGACACTCCTCAGCAGTTAAAGGTGCTTGCCACTTTTTAAGAGAACCAGAGCTCAATTCCAAACACCCATGTTAGGTAACTGACATTCACATATGACTTTTGCTCCAGGAGATCCAATGACCTTCTCTAGCTCTGCAAACGAGTGCACAGAAGTCTCTCTCTCTCACACACACACACACACACATTTGCAAATAAAAATAAAAATGAATCTTGAAATTTTTTAGACAGAGAGGAATTTAAATTTTGTGTATGTCTGTGTCTGGTGTCCAAGTAGACTGGAAAGGGGAATTGGATTCCCTGGGACTGGAGTTATTGAGAGTTGTAAGCCATCTGTGGGTGCTAGGGATCGAACCTCGGTACTTCGGAAAAACAGTGAGCTCTCTTAAGCTTTAAATATATCTGGCAAAACACTTTGCTAGATTTTAAAAGTGTAAAATTTCTGTGGTTGAAATATCCCTATATTTTATAAAGCAAGAAACCATATGTTCCCAAGTAGTCCTAAGCAATGTAAGAAGAAAAAGAAGCTGTTGACAATGCAAGCAGCTCTGCCCAGGTTTCATTTCACATTAAGCAACATTAAGAGTGATTTTCCCCTTCATTCCCTTTCTCATCTCTCTGTCTACCTGCTCCTTTCTCTTCGCCCTTTTCTCCTATTATAAACAAATGTTACAATGAAGTCAGTCAGTGTCCCATGTGCTGACTCTCCCTAGTCTTTTCCATCTGTGAGTCAGAGTCGGCGAGTTTAATAATACACGGATACTGGATAGCTCTTGACATTTACTGATGCAGTTTCTTTTCTAAGAAAACACATGGGTCAAGGACCTCATGTAACTTCATTCTGTCATTTGAGATCCTCGGATGATACCACTGAGATTTCGTAGGTGGGGAAGATTCATGTAGTTCAGGTTTAGAATTAAGTAATTCTTACATGTTTCACATTTGAACCTCAGCCAAGCATCATGTGACTCTGCTTTTCTTCATCTCATTATGTCCTCCACCTTCATCAAGAATCATTTTTATATGGTCATGGAATCATACTGTCATTCCCTCCCTGGTTCATTTCAATAGTAGCAAAGATCAGTTACATGCCTGCTCCTTCAGCACTGTGTAAATAAACCGTAGTACTTCAGATTGTTTTTACATGTATATACAGCCCATCTGTTCTTTGTGTGATCCTTTAAGACAAAGGTTATGAACATTGATCACCCATAGGTCACAATCAGAGAGTAGATAGTATCTACTGTCTACTAAAAACAAATGGATAAATTCACAGATCATGAAATACATGATCCTTTACAATGTTCACATGCCTGCTTTCTCTGCATGACCAGACGTGCTCGTTTTATAGGAGGTCCATTTTCTATTGAATATTTTATCAATATATGTCTAATAGAAAAGCAATATGGAATAACAGCAGAGATCATAGTCAAAACATTAGCCACTTCATTTTCTACAGGGAGATTCTATAAAGAAACATTCTACAACACCCACGGAAAAGTATGTGACATATTGTCAATAAAGAACAGATTGGTTATTGATTATTTGAATAGCTTTGTCACTTCATTTTCAAACAGTGAAGGAATAACTGACCTTGAGAGATGATTTAGAGCATTTATAGAGGAAATTTATAGGACAAAGGGAGGGACAATATTAGGGGCAAGTGTGGGGATGTACCATGGATAACTGGTGAGAATGTAGTAAGAGTACAACTCTGAGAGGATGGGGAAACTCATAGGTCAAACAGTGATGTTGCTGAGGAATCTGGTTCTTACTAAGAGAAAATTCCTCTGTAAGTTCTCTGCTAGTCCATGCTTATCTTTTCGATGACAGTTCACAGACAGAAGCTTTTCCTGTGTTGGAATCTAGAGACATATAAACTTTATTTCATAGAACTCCTGCCAGGAAATGGAATCTTGTCATTATGGTCCTCTTCAGTCAAAGTCTGTAAACTATGTCAGTTCTCTAAGCATCCCTTTCTGACTCTGGAGATTATGTATGCAAATCTGTTTTGTTTTTAGTTTGGTTTGCATTGTTTTATGATTCCTGCTGTCACCTACGTAGACTCACAGATTTTCCTTTTATCATGACTATTAAATACATACAGAAGCACAAAATTGTCACATTGATTAGCTCTTTGTGCCATACTTCAGTGCTACCTGGAGTAGTTACAGGTATTCTGTTTCCTATAATTCTTCATGAGATTAGCTCAAATCAATTATAATTCTTCTGAAAGGTTAAAAAACCCATTTTATGCAAATTGTGGTTTAAAGAGTCTACCTTCAATAGTTATTTAACTAGTATGTGTGAATATGTATGTGCATATGTGCATGCTTGTGTATGTCCCATATGCATATTTGTGTGTTCCAATAAGTATGTGCACATGTGTGTTTGTGTGCCTGAAATATTCACCCTTGTGTTATCACCTTCATTGCTACTGTAATACTGGAAGTTTCTTATATAAGGGCTTAGATAATGTTCTTGTTTAATTCTTATAACCATTATATCATCTAATATTTATACAAATAAAGATATGGGAGGAGTAAACTGAGGTAAAATCCTGCTAGCTCATCGAGGTAACATAATTTTCCTCACTGTATACAAATATCTACTTACAAGCCTGATTCCCACAACTAAACTGCTAGCTCTTTAGAAATCTCTTTCAATCTGTGTCATTCTATGGAGCTAGTCTGCTTTTCTCTTGAGCTCTTCCAAACCCAAGATGGCTTTTTTTTTTAAAAAGAATATCATTTTATCTGAATCCTGCCAGCCGATTCTTTGTTTGTCCTGCAAGCCCAAAGAGAAAATCCTCATCTCTTACCCAGAGCTTCTGCCACAAAGACTCTTCCAAGACAAGAAGCCAAGAGAGATAGATACACAGAGAGAGAGAGAGAGAGAGAGAGAGGGAGAGAGAGAGAGAGAGAGAGAGAGAGAGAGGAAGAAAGAGAGAGGGAGAGAGGGAGGGAGGAAGAAAGAGAGAGAGAGAGGGAGAGAGAGAGGGAGAGAGAGAGAGAGAGAGAGAGAGAGAGAGAGAGAGAGAGAGAGAGAAAATGAGATATATCAAAGATCCAGTTGCTTAGAACTTTCTATCTCCTTCCCTACATCCTTGGTAGGCTGAACTATGTCACTGTCACGGTATGTGTGTATCTAAGGTGGAGTGGGGGCTTCTCCAAGCCCAGTCAGAAGTTGCCAAAACATTTCACCTTTATGGTGGAGTAGCTTAAGTTAACCCAGATAACTTTGCCTTGGGTCATAGAGCAAACAAAGATCACAAGATGTCTCCTATGTAACTTCCTTTAAAACAGGGAGAAACTTTCCATTCCTTAGCAATCTTATCTATGGATGCTTTTAGGTGTTTGCTCAAACTGCATCTCTTCAGGACACACTTAACTGCATCTGATTAACACAACAGCTGTTTAAGCTTTTGTAGTTTGCTAACAATTGGGTTTTCTATGTACAATATCAAATATGTTATAACAAATTCTTATAAATATTAATGACTAAAACCGATTCTCCTTTAAGAGATACATACTAACAAATTTATGCAGGAAAAAATGCAAAGATTGGTAGAAGAGTTACTATCCAATGTTCAGAGGGCTATTGCAATGGATGAAAGGCAAGATGCAAGGAAGATCAAGGGGAAGTGAGACTGGGATCAAGGAACAACTAAATTAACTTGAACAGAATCCCAGAATAGCAAGATCCACAGATATCCCTGTCATGCTAAGGGTCACCTTTCCACACGTTTTTTATTCTTTGCCCCCAGAAGGTAGTTAATGGAATTTTAAAGAATTGAGTATGCCCTTGAGAGACTTGAGGTCTAAGGGATGGAGAGGTCTGGTGGGGTGGGTGTAGGGGGGTGAGGAGGTCTGGTGGGGTGGGTGTAGGGGGATGGGGACATCCTCTTGGAGATGAAGGAGGAGGTATGGGAAAATAAAAAAATAAAATGAAAAATTGAGTATATCTGAAAATTTAGTTTTTTAGCCACATAAATTATACTTGCTACTGTACAATGGTTTTTTTTAAAGAAATCAGCACAAAGTGCTTCAGTTTTCAAAGGTAAAGACAGTTATATATATTCACATCTCCTATAAGAGCCCAAGTTGCTAAAGAGTTGTAGAGGAAAATAATATTAACCAGAGAGGAGATTGAGCTTTTACAACCAATTATAACATAGTATAATGGGGAAGATGGATTAGTACTTGTTACATTGTGTCAACAGAATTCTGTGGGTACATGGTACCAATAATAAGTTAAAACCTTGTATTAGTCTTGACATTGTGAGGAATTAATACTTAGTTAGCATATTTTTTCTTCCTGAAGGAAATTAACAGGGGTGAATGGAAGGACAGTATGTAATACTGAATTTTGGGGAGAAAGAGTAGATGTGGGTGTATGTGTAGGCTCAGTTTTCCCCATGTAAAATGTACAAAGCACAAGTGTAATGTTTAATGTTTACCATAGAAATCCATGAGTTAATCATGTGTGGTGGTTGAAGTCTAGAATCTCAGAACTTTTGGACTGAAACAAGAGGATTATTTTGAGTTTGTTGTCATTCTTGTCTACATGGTGAAGTCTAATTCAGCAGGGATATCTGTGTCTTAAAATATCAAAACAAAATAAAAGAATAAATGAGAACACACTTT